CCAGGCAGAGAACTAAGAAAGAAAATGTAGAGCTCACAGGAAAAAATCCCGTCCCAAGTGTTGAGAAGATTCCTCCTGGCCACCAGCCCTTTTCCCGAGACCTTCTCATTCTTTATGGTGAGGTTGCAACAGGTTGCCCAGAGAAGGTGTGGATGCCTCATCCTTGGGAGTGTTCAAGGCCAGTTTGGATGGAGCCCTGAGCAATCTAATCTAGTGGAAGGTGTCCTGCCCACGGCAGGAGGGTGGAATGACAGGATCTTTAAGTCCCTTCCAACCCATAACATTCTGCTGGCTCTATGACATGACCATGAAGCATGGTGAGGCTGAGCTGAGCACCATGAGCTGTTGATGGAACAGTCAAAACTCAGAAACCTGTTCATGCTCCATTCAGGCTCATTAGCAGTACAACCACATGTTGCCTGCCCAGCTGCCTCTGCCAGGGGAACTTTCTGCTCTTTCCAGGTCTTATCAATAGCTGCTGTGTGGACAATGACAGTCAATGACAGCAAGGGAGCATGAGTCACAGCTGGCTGTCTCCTCCTGCCAGGACAAAGAACACCTTTGCTGCCACACCGTAGCTGGCTTTTGCAGCTTTGCTCTGCTCCCAGCTTCAGGCATGTCCTGCTGAGCTGGCTCATCTCAGCCAAAACCTCCTGAGCTTGTGGAACAGTTAGCCTAGTCTGGAGTGTGGCTGCAGCTCATCTAGCTCCAGATACTGCTGCTTCTCCTGCTCTCCAGAAATTGTGGCAAAGGAAGATCTCGGTACATTGGACAGGGCTGTTCTTTGCTCTCAAGAAAAGGTGCTGGATGGTGTTTGAGAGCTTCTCATGGAATGTCTGCCCTGACTGCTGGCTGGTGCTCAGGCAGGCTAGGATCTGTGGGGATATGTTAGATATGTTAGATGCCTGGTGCTGGAGGCTGAGAGCAATTGGTCCCAGGTCTATGCAGCACCATGGAAGTGCATCATCTTGTCTTGCCTGTAGGTCTGGTGAGAGATCGTCTCATGGGATATCATCTACTTCAGGCATTTGTCAAAAGAGTTCCCTAAATAAAAATAGAGAGATTGATATGATATATGATATGATATGATATGATATGATATGATATGATATGATATGACATGATACGATATATTATATGATACGATGATATAGATACAGATGATGAAAAGACCAGAAGATTCCCTTCACTGTCTAGTTCTTCCTGGAATGCTTCTCCTCCAGTAAACTGTACCCAGTTCCTGGGCAAGGAAGGGCAGAGAAGAGCTTTTCAGCTGTTCAAAGTGGGACCCTCCATGCCTGTTTCTGATGTGTTTGTAGCCTCTAATTCATCTTCCATGCACATTCCTGCAGAGCAAGCACTCATGTTTTGCTGCCTACAGAAATAGGCTTGTTTGGTAGCTCCTGGAGAGGAAAACTATTTCTGCTATGTGCCCCCTGACATGTCTTCCCACAGCCTGGATCTGTCTGGTTGCTTTAGCCATGAATTTGTCCTCCTATCACCACTTACACATTGCTTCAGACTGTCTGTACATTGCTTTTTAATTTACTGGGCTCTGCTCATGGGACTCAGCCCCTCAAAGAGGGGGCTGAAACTGCTAAACCAAGCATTAGAATCTGGTACCAGTGGCTCCAGCTGCAGCAGTAAGGTTTAATGTCATTTTACTTGTACCTTGTCCAGCAGCTTAAGCCATTATTTGTTACTAACAGGTTAATATTTCAAAGGAATTTGAAAGTGAATTTACAGTGAAATGCATCCTAGCCCAGAAATTATTTACAGATGGATATGAAGTTAATAACTCCTTTCTATCTCTAACATATTCTGTCCCTGATGAGTTGATTATTTAATTGCCAGAGCAGTTAAGTGTGAATCTACAACAAGTTTCTGAGTCTGTCTCAGTTCCTTCACTGCAATGCTCTCACAGAGAAAATACACAGCTCCAGGTAAAACAGTTGGAAGTTCCTTCCTTTACATTGGTGGCATTATAAACCTGCTGTGGAAACTATGTAAACTGGTCAAAAGAGAGTAGTACTGTAAAAAAAAAAAAAGGGTTTGTGGTTGAGAAGGAGGCAGAATCTAGAGTGTTCAGGACGACACAATCTCCCTGCTACCCCTCTTGGCAGGGGGAAGATCAAAACCCTAATCAAAACCACACTTATTTTCCTCTGACCAGCACTTGTGAGTGGCTACAAGCCCAAGCTGGGACTCAGAGCAGCAGAAAGGATGGATCCTTTCCCAGTTTTCCATACGTCACTGCTGCCTGTTACCAGTAAAAGAAGATGTCATGCCAGCTGGGAGACGGAGGTGTGTGCACAGGTGTCAACAAACAGCGCTGTACTTGACAGCAGCAGATGGAGATACGAGCCCTGAGCCTCTCAGCCCATGGGCAGGACATGGCAGCTTGCTGGAAAGTACTTCTGAGAGCAAAGATGCCCCCGCCAGTGCCACTGCTCAAAAGCATCTTTGCTTTCGTGGTCCCAGCTCAGTCCAGTTCGACAAAAATCACAGAATCATAGAACGATAGAACAGTTTGGGTTGGATGGGACATTAAAACTCATCCAGTTCCAACCTGCCTGCCATGGACAGGGACACCTTCTACAAGGCCAGGCTGCTCAAAGCAGCAGAAGGAGCTGCAGCACATGTTCACCTGTGCACAAGCAGAGAGGTGCCTCAGCCTGGCTGGGAGTGACTCACCTGCTGCCAGTCCATTGCTGGCACTAAGGATAAACTCTTTTGGGGTGGCAGGCACTATGCTTCAGGGACAGACACCCCCTCACAAACCACAGAGGAGCAGGACACTGAGGGACTGAGCAAACATGGACCGTCCAAGCTTGCACACAGGTCCCTGCCCACGCTGGGATCATCCACAGGTTTGTGGGCACTGCCGTCAGCAAGAGCGAGTGCCCTGCACCCCTGGGTGTGTCCACAGGGACAGCTGCAAGGGCATCTCTGTGCAGTCTGTCCCTGCCTCCCTCCTCTAGGCCAGCAGCTGTTTAGAGTAAACTCTCCCTAACATGTGGTTTCAGTTCCAGGTTCAGTGTTGTACAAAGACCATGTCCAGTACTCTCCCTGAGTCAGCAGATGTTCTGAATTTGGCACGGAAATGTGTTACTCCCAGTTAAAGAGAATTCACATGATTAATGATTAATGCTGCTATCTGAATAATTACCTCATTCAGCCAGCTTTTCTTCTGGTTTTGTAAGAAAATGTGCACGAAAAATGAGGACAAAACCCTTTTCCTGTGTTAGTATACATGTGGAATAATATTTCTTCTAAAAAGAAGAAAGCAAGTTTGAGAAAAATAACTGATAAATTTCCACAGTGCTTGTGCACACATATTCTCTCCAACATTTATCCAGGGCCATAGTCCCCCACAAAATCCATTAGAGACCTCGTGCTTGAGGAAAACCTTCCTCATGAAGAATGAGCATTGTTATAAGCATTGAAAAATCTAAAGTTTCAGGTGTAGATTATCTGCACTGATAACCATGCACACAATATTCAATTTCTAGAAGCAATTTCTAGACAAAAGTCCCCTTCAGCCAACTCAGTGATAAGGTTTCCTATGTGTATGTGCATGCACATAAAGGAACATTGTTTTAAGGTCTTTTTGTGGAATATATTAATTTAGCAATGGAAATACCAATATTTTAAGGAAAAAAATTTGTATTTTCAGCCACTATTTTAGCATTCAGGATTTCTTGCTCATGAGCTACCAACATTTTCTGTAGTTACTAGAGCATGTAGACAAAATACATTTCAAAAAAATCCAATCTTGCATTTAAAGAAGGCAATGTAGCAAACCTGATGCCAATCTTGTCAGAAAGCATCTAAAACTGAAGCAAGGAACTGCCACCTACAGAAATCTAGCCTAGACAGAATAAAATTTACTTTGGGTTGTAGTGAAAACCTCAACCAGATGTATGTGTACAGAGGCCCAGGGCTAAGACATCTTTTTCAGAGCAGTCATGCCCCTGAAGTCGAAGAGGACATTTCTGATGGAATTGGTGAGCACAAGGAGAGCTGGTTGAGGATGGTGAGGAGGTCCTGTGCTGAATGGCCAGGTGCTATTCAGGTGTAAGACATTAGATAATTTGAAAATGCCACAGAGGAGGCACAACAGCCAGGTTGCGCTCAGGATCAGGTATTCAAGATTCAAGAGAGGGAGCCCAGCCTTCAGCCCCAATCAGAAAGGCATGTTAGGAATCCCCAGAAAAGGGTTTGAGGTCAAAACAGAAAATATCTTTATTCTGCTGATTGGTTCTTTCCTATCATTTGTGGTTCTGGCTGCACAGTTGAAAGACTTTAAACAAAAATGATTGAGGAGGGTGAAAAGGAGTGTCTTGCATAAAAGGAGAATAAACCAGATCTGAAATCTTGACTCTGGGAAAGACAGGACAGAGGGAGAGGCGTGTAACAGATGTATAGGAAAATTGTGACTACGACTAGAAGGAATGGTTCAAGGGAGCAATTGTTCACTGCTTACCAAAATACTGAAATTTGGGTTATCTCCTGAAAAGATTATATAGAAATTGGGAGTATCTCAAACGATGATGCAGTCGTTTCAATGAAGGGAACGCAGATATTTTTCAAGTGATTAAGGGTGTAAGACTTTTTATCCCCGTACTTATATCTTCAATTCGCGAGTGGAAATGATCTTCCCCACATCCCTATCCCTTCACACCGAGCCCCACGTTGCCTGTCCAAGGAGCGATGCTTCTCGTCCCGCTCCTCGGTGCCACAGCCCCGGGGTGATGCGCAGCCCTCTCTGCCGCCACCCCGACGGGCGAGCCCCGGCGCCGCCGCCGCCGTCACGCCCGGACCGCGACCCTCCCCGCCCCGGCCGGGCGGTGTCTGCGCGGCCCCCGCGGCGCTTTAAGCGGCGTGTGTGATATCACAGCGCCTGGAGCCGCGGGCGCGGAACGCCGAGCGCACGGAGCCCGCACCGAGCGCTGCCCGCGGGGACCCCCAGCCCCGCGGGACGGGCTCGGCGGCGCAGCATGGGAAGCGTGCAGCTGCAGGACTTCGTGGCGGGCTTGGTGGGCGGTGAGTGATGCCGTGAGCGCGGGTGAGGAGGCGGCGAAGGGCGCACGGCCGAGGTGCCCAGGGATAAAACCCTCCGGGTCACCCGCGGTCTGTGCCTCCGCCCGGCGTCTCCCACGGTTTGCTGTGCTTTGGCACACAAGTGCGGCTTAATCCCACTTCCACGGGCGGGATAGTTAAAATTCAAGTTTAGAACGTGTGATGCTGCTGTGCGGGGCCGGTTTCCAGACGCCCCCGCATGCCCCCAGCTCCCGTCGGCTCTCCCGTCCTTGCCCCGTGGCTGGAAGCGCCGCCGAGCTCGGAAGGGGCTGTCAGCTGTCAGCCCGGGGCTCCCCGTGTCCCCATCCCCGGGAGAGGCACTGCCGGGTTCTCACCCCGCCGTCCCACCGCTGTCACCGGATAGGGCAGGGACTGATCCTGTCTGCTGGGAATTCCGATGGCAAGCACCCGGAAACAGATAACAGAAGGAAAAGGATGCCAAACGACAGGTAGAGACGTCAGTAATGGGACAAGGTTTACGGAACTGAGAGGTGCCCGCTGGGTTTGCCAGCAGTGAGGGTGACCAGCTCTGCTGTCCTCAGGGCTGCAGCAGGACAGAGGGTCCACTGTGGCACCAGCCACCACAGAGCAAACCTCTGCTCAGGTGACCCTTCAGACCGACACAGGAGCAGGATGTGAGGTGGCTCACAGGTGTCTTGCCAGATTAGGTTAATAAATTAGCAGACTAAAAACCCCAAAACTTCTGCCAAAAGTTCGTGTGAGCAGCTGATTTTGGATCTCTGTAGGCTGTGGTTGCTCTCTCTGCCCCACTGCCCTGTGCTGTTGCTGCACACCCTCGGCTATGGATCAGGATGTCCTGGGACGTTAACAGCCACCAGCACCAACAGTACTCAGCAATGGTGGCAGCTGAGAGGTTTCATGCAAAGCACTAGAACATGAGTGGTCCCAGGTCTGGGAGGAGAGGGGACAATTTTTAACACATTTTTAGAAAGGTTGTAATGTGTTGACCAAGGACATGATGCTCTTTTCAGTTCTAATCCACTATGAGTGCAAAATTACATGTAGTCCCCAAAGAACCTGTGGGCACTGGTTTGCACAGAGATTTGCTGGTGAGGAAGCATCACAATTTACCCACTCTCCACAAAACCTAAAACCTCCAGTGTGGTTTGCAACAAACACACAAAACCATATCCTGGCCATGGCACACAGGTGTTCCATTCTCCTGGAGAAGAGGGAAACCAAACTGTGCTCTGTGCTGACACCACAGCTCCTGGCAGTGAGCGGTGTGAGTAGGTGGGTGAATGGTAAGAGAATATGGGCCAATATCTCCCCAGAGAACCATGGGGAGGAAGGCAGGATGGAGAGATCTATACAGAACTGAGTATTTGAATCCTCTCTGACAGGTATCTCTATAAACTGCTCTTAAAATAGCAAAGGATGAGGAATTCGCACTGACTGCCCATTAGCGGTCAGCTAGGACACTACTCTGACCCAGGAGAAAGCATTGCCTTGTGTTGAACAGGAATCTCACAGTTCTGAGGCTAAATATTTGTGTGAGCTTACAGGAGTGCAAATGGGGTTGGTCCTGGACAGAATATACAAACATGACTTCTCCTTCTCCTCTGCCTTTGAGATGTAAAAGCTGAAGGAGTCCAGGAGAGTGTACATGGAAAAGTGTTTAAGTTCAGCTTTTAGCTGTTATCAGCGACAGGGCATCATGCTGGTCATTACTCTGGCTAGGCCCCTTACAACTGCTCCTATGGAAATCTTTTCTCTCCTCTAAACCCATTGCATCCTGTTCTGCCACAAAAGCTTCAATGCTTTGCATAATACTTTGCTTTCATTCCCAGGAGTTGCCAGTGTGGTTGCAGGCCATCCCCTGGACACAGTCAAGGTAAAACACTTTGAACGCTGTTCACATGTCACCACCCAAACCTCCACCAATTCAGACCTTCTCTCTAGCTGATACCTTGAAGGACCTTCACTTTATCCCAAAGGGGAATTTGGAATGTTTTCACAGACTTTCTGTGAATACTCATTTTGAATGAGAAACTAAAAGAACTGACTGATACGTGCAAGCTCCTCTGTGGAGAATTAATGCTGAAAATTAACCTGGCCTTACTTAATGTGTGGTTCACTGAACAGTTCTGCCAATGTTTTATTGAACTTTGCCACAGACTAGTACTCAAAGGGCACTGAGGGAACTGTATTTGTTTTGCTGCTGGCACATTTTAATGTGTTTTCCTAGTGCTGGTAATACTGGAAGGGCAGAGTTCTGAAATCATTATTGTGACACACAGTGTTTATGATTCCCTAATGATAATTATTCCTCCAACTGAAGGATTTAGAAAAGTAAGAAGGTATTTGTCAGCATGATGCAGACAAGCCCATGCACATGCCAATGCATCCTGACTCAACCAAACTGACCATCCCTACTGATGTAGAGATAGGAGGAAGATCCTGTTCATTTCTTTTTTTGCCCAGACATTTCTGGGCAGCTTTCATCACTTTAACTTCTCTGCCCTTGATGGTGTTGTTCAGCCTGAAGAATAGAAGGCTCCAAAGAAATCCTATTGTGGTCTTGTACTTGAGGGGGGGTCTAAAATAAAGACAGAATTTTTAGCAGGGCCCATTGTGATAGGACAAGGGCTACTGGTTTTAAACAGAAAGAGAATAGGTTTAGATTAGATACAAGGAAGTCTTATACAAAAAGGTGGTAAAACATAGGCACAGGCTCTGCCACCAGAGAGGTGGGAGGATGACCATCCCTGGAAACATTCAAGGGCAGGATGGATGGGGCTCTGAGCAATCTGATCTAGCTAGAGATGTCCCTGCTCACTGCAGGGAGCTTGAACCAGATGACCTTGAAAGATCCCTTTCAACTCGAGGTATTCTGCAATTCTGTGACTGTGTTCCCCATTCTGCTTCAAGCCTGGCTCTGGCAGGGTTGCCAGTTGCCATTTGTGGCAAACCCAAAAACCACTGGTCGTGTTTGCACCTTAAAGACCTTTGGAGGGTGATGCCAAGGAGGCAGGGCCCAGCATTGCTCACGCCACATCCCTTCCCCAGCCATCACAGCCATCCCCTTGCACACACCAGGCTCTCCTGGGATCAGGAGATGCCTAGCCAGTCCTACTCTTTCTGATCTGCTAAAGTGATATCAGCCCCAAGAGCATCCCTGTGCAAAGGTGAGTGCAGAGCCCACACGGGAGGAACCACAAGGCTGCCCACACCACCCAGCCATGGGCAGGGCACATTCAGCAAAGGCAGGCTCTGCCCAGCGTTGCCAAGGCAAATCCTCATCTCAGGCTGGTGGTCATGGCATCATTGCCTGGTTTTGAGGGAGTTTGGCTATGAGAAACCTACTCAGAAACATCGAGTTTCTGGATGCCAAGAAAGAGCAAGTCCATCCTTCAGTGGTTATAAAAACAACTGTCAGGCTGCCTCCTCTGTTGCTCTTGGCTTTGGGCAAGGCTTTGCCTTGGGAATACCAAGTAGGCAGACTTGTTTTGTTCCAAATTCAGGAGCAGGAAAGTGGAAAAGAGAGTTTTTACACAGCACTAGGCCAGCATAGGGGCTGCTCAGCAGCATCTGCAGCCTCCAGGAGATCAGAGGTCTTTCCCCATCTGAGTGAGGAGGCAGGACTGAGTATAAGGCTCTGTGGGGTAAGTGGCATCTACACCACAGTTCCCATCAAGCCACCTCTTCCCCCTTCAGCCATCTCTTCCCATCGTTTCAGCTTCTGTCAAACCCCAGCAGCTGTTTTTTCCTATGTCCTTGCATAACTCTAGAAGTTGTGCCTTTATTTTTTTCCTACCCATTGCATTCATTTCCCTAGAACTTCATTCAGCTTCTGGGTGTCACCCAAGAGCCCTAGCTAATCAAAACATAACAAAAAGGAGAACTTTCCAGAGGTATATCCCTACTGTTAGTAGCTGACTTTATCACAGATGCCAGCAGGGACTTCAGTGCTGGGTGTTAACAGATTAGCTAAAAGGACGTGTATGTGAGAACACTCAGTTGCCCCCAGTTACTCAAAAAATATATTAACTTGGACCTCTAAATACCTGGTTACTGGGTAAAAGAGAAAAAACCAAGCCCATGGAGGCAAAGTGGACTAAGATTAAGCCAAGAGGGAACTCAGGGCTGGGCACTGGGGTCACCTTGTCCTGGGTCACTCAGGGTGCAGCCACCTTCCCCTGGTCTCCCCCAGCCCTGTTATCCCCAGTGTGAGTCACGTTTTGCTGTGTCTGCTCCCATGGCCTGAGCCTGTCTACATTGCACAACATGTGCTGGGTGAGCCATGGCAGCATCTTCATGTACCAGCTTGTTCTGAGTGCTCAGGAAATATTCTGCTTTTGCTGCTACTTCTCTGTGGCCTCTGGCCAGGCCTGGAGGGGAGTGGGGATGCTCCATGTGTGCAAACAGCTGCATGGAGCCACCCCGGGGTGAGGGGCGAGCCTGGGCTGAGGGGTGAACACACACTTTGGTCCCTCCTGCTCCTGCCAGGGTCCCATGGTGGCACTGGCAGCCACTTGAAGGGCTCTGGGCCAAATGATTGTGTCATCCAACCTGCTGTTTGCCATCCAAGAGCTCCTACCAGTAATGAACTCTGGCAGACACACATTTCTTTGGGCTTTAAATTCCCAAACAGTTTCTGCTTCACCCTTGTGTAATCAGGGCTGGGCCAGTGGAGGGGATTGGACACCACCCCTCCAGCGCAGGTTGGCAGTGTCCCTTCAGACTTCATTGCTAGCAGCAGTGCTGACAAATGTAGCCAGAAATGTTTTCCCCATTTCCTAAAAACATTCCCGATTGAGCATGTGTGTCTTTCTATAAAAAATGAGCTCTGGCCTCAGCCAAGATGAAGCCTGAGGTGCTGTGAACAGTGTTTTCATTTCCTTGCACACCTCTAAGCCTAAAAAATAAATCCCTTGATAGGATGTTTCTAACGCAACCTTGTGAGCAGCTTGAATGAAAGATGATCTAAATACATACATATGAGAAGGGGAAATGTTTAATCCTGTAGGCTTTGTTGTGACTTACATGCCATTTCTTGCATCTGTTGGAAGGTGTACAACCAATTTGCTTTCCAGAAATAAAATGTCTTTTTTTGAAATTATATTAAACTGTGTTTTTGAGTGAAGCATGGAGAATTTCTGAGATGACACTGAATTATTTTAGCTCCAATTAGTATATCTGTGTCTCAAAATTCACCTTGGAGCAGAAAGGCCCCAGAAGTCTCCCAGGGGAACTCACCTCTCCTTTCTTTGCAATGCATCCCTGCCTTCCCTGAGAGTCTCCAAATGTAGAAGACCACACCACTCTCCAATGTCCACATAAATCAGGCCCTTGCCAATGGCAGCACTGCGCACCAGCAGCCTGCTGTGCCGGGTCAGGGTGGCTGGTCCAGACTGGAGAGCAATATGACAGTCATTGATTCCAGATGTTGCAGAGAGCTTCAGTCTGTAAGATCCTGCTTAACCTTGCTTCTGGCAAAGTTCAAGAGGGTGGATATATCTTATTTTACTGCTCAGTTCTCTTTATGACTAAGGAAGGACTTGCTCTCAAAACAAAGTACACATTGTTTATGTACCATGAGCCTCCATTAGGCTGGAAGAATAGAAATTCAATCACATTTTACAAATATCTTTTGCAGACTCGTTTGCAAGCTGGACAAGGATATGGAAATACACTCAAGTGTGTTATCACTGTGTACAGAAATGAGTCTGTAAGTAATTCATCATACTCTAAATGTGCAAGTGTAGAGAGTGCAAGTCAATAAATAGATAACTATATATAGAAATTGTACAAAATACTGTTGACACCAGCAGTTATATAAAGACTAATAAAGTTTGGGCAATTGAGCCTGCAAATCCCTACAGTCTTCTCGTGCTTAACTCTAAGGAAACCCACTTGGTGACTCCTATAAGGAAAAGAGAGATCCCTGGCATGGAATGATCAGTGTCTCCATATGGGTTGCATCCACAGTGATTCTTTTGTCTGGCAAAAGTCTCCCAGACGGATTTTGCTGACTTTGGTGAAGCCAGAGCAAACACTGTCTATATGAGGTACTTCTACGTGGGTTCCTCTGCTTTCAACCATGTCTTGTCTTCTGCACAATCTTTATAAGCCTTTAGCAGCATGAACCAATTTCCTTTGCCCAGCATGTGCAAACAGTTGGTTCCAGGAGACATCTGCTACTTGGATTTGTAATTCATCCCTGACTACGGCAGGGGATTGGAACGAGATGACTTTCAGAGTCTTTTCCAACCCAAACCATTGTGTGATTCTGTGATTTCTAACCTGATAGACAAGTTGGGGTTTACACTACTCAGTCTTGCTCGGTCTCCTAAGCCCTGCTCCCTTTCCTGGGTAGCTGGCTGGCTTCTTCAAGGGCATGTCCTTCCCACTGGCCAGCATCGGCATCTACAGCTCAGTGGTGTTCGGAGTCTTCAGCAACACGCAGCGGCTCCTGAGCCAGCTCCGCCACGGGGACCCGGCCGGCTCGCCCTCGCTCACTGACATGACTCTGGCCAGCATCGTGGCAGGGGTCATCTCTGTGGGCATTGGCACTCCCGTGGATCTGGTCAAGATACGGCTACAGATGCAAACACAGCCATACAACAAAGGTAGGAAGCAGGAGTTTCTTCTTCCTATCTCTGCCAGTCTTTGGTACATACACAGAGCTTCACAACAACTTTGTTCAAGGCCCGGCTTTCTGCCTTGTGCTGCTGCAGTTGGGCTAAAGATTCCCCCTTTTGCCTGAGGATGGACCCCACCCTGCTCAGCTCAAGGGTAGGGCTTTTATAAATGGCATTTCCAGGCAGTTGGGATCTATAAGGAACATGAGGCAGGTCTGCTCAAGACCAGAAGCTGCAAGAAATTGTGAGTCCCTGGGCTGTGGAGTCCCCTGGTGATTCCAGCAGCAGCATCATGGCTGCCACCAGCAGTACCAGCTCCCCATCTCCCTCTGCACACTCTCAGTCTCATATATATTTACCCATAAACCTCTGTTGTTCTACCCTTCTCTGTTCAAAAGCAGAAGTTTCCCATTTACATTTAAGAAGGGCTGACTTATTTCACACGGGGTGCCAGATAGTCCAGGTGTGAGCAGGGTGGGTCAGGAGGGGACACCAGAAGGATGGCAATGGGTGGCTGTTCCCTGTCCACAAGCTGCAGGCTCCAGACAGCAGCTGAATTCCAGTGCAGGCTGCCAGCATGGAGTGAACCCCACCAGAGTACATGCACAGCCAAATGAAGACATGGAGCAGCTTCAGAGCTGAACAGCTTGGATTTCAGCATTCCACCTTTCTCACAATTACAATCATGTGTTTAACTGTGAAATGCTGGCATTTTTCTGTTCCTTTGGTAAAACAATATTATGTCAATTTTTAAAGCCTCCATGTGGCTTAGCAACCTAATGCCTTTTACAAAAACAACTTCGTCTGCATGGGAAGAGCCAGACTCTGAAGATGTTAAGGCTTTTAAAGATGTGACTTGGCATAAGTTGAAATTAAAATCCATGAAAATTGGGCACATTGCCTTAAACTCATTTGGAAGTCTCACTTGGCACATACCTATTGGGTGGTATGTCATGCATCTAAGGAATATCTGTCTTGAAGTGTCTAAATGTGTTCTGAAAATGGACCTAAATATTCTTTCCTAAAACTTTTTCCCCATGCTGTCTGTTGACTCCAGCAGAAGAAACTGGATGGCAGTGACTTCTAATCAATGGCAATGGGCTTTGGAGAGGAGTTCTGTGGCAATATATTTATTCTAACAGTTGTATCTTTTTTTTTTGTTGTTGTTGGTTTTTTTTTTGTTTTTTTGTTTTTTTGTAGCAAACGTTAAACTAAATTCCACAGTTCCTGGATCTCATGTGTACCGAGGCCCAATTCACTGCTTAAGGACGATCCTACAGAAAGAGGGGATAGCAGGAATATACCGAGGCAACGTAGCAATGCTCCTGAGGGATGTTCCCGGGTACTGCGCCTATTTCATCCCATACGCAATGTTCTGTGACTGGATAACTCCTGATGGAAGCATTTCTCCTAATCCCTTCGCTATCTGGGTGGCAGGGGGTGTAGCAGGTAAGCACCTTTACTTCCTCACAGCATTGGCAAAACAAGAAAAGGAAGGTTCTCAGGGCAGATTACGAGGGTGGCTCAAGTGCCACCGCATCCTTCTGAACACCAGCAGAGGACACGGCACTGAATGACCTTCCTTCCCCAGGGCTGGGTTCCCTGGCACTACAGCTGCACTTTATGACTTGACAAACTTTATAGAAGTCCTGTTATCAGACCTTCATTGGACTCATTGTCAGTGGAGAACAGACAGTGCCTTCATTTCCCTCAGGGCAGCCTGCCAGTCACATTGCCAGGGATATGTGAAGCCAAGATGCCTCCAGAAGAGGACTTCAACCTGTTGGCTGTCCACCAGGAGGGTGTGCACCTATCCACACGTAGCAGAAGCCCAGTTGACTGTTACTGTTCTTTTTTCCACTTGTACACTTGCCAGTAAAACTGGCATGTGCATCCCCCACCATATGAAAGGTCACCCCTACTCCTACTCCCCACTTTTTGGCCATTTCTAAATTGCAGATCTATAAAGGCAAGTCAATCCTTAGCTCAGGTAATGATAACAAAATGCCTTCTCTATTTCTCTTCAAATAAAGAAGCCCCAGGTGCCTCTGGATAGCTTTTCTAGTGTGCCCCAACACTCATGTAGGTCCAAACAAACTCTTGTCTATCCAGCTGGACCATGGATTGAAGTCATGATCTTTCCAGAGGCAAACCATCCCATTCAGCTGCAGGCTAATGAATGGAAATTGGCATTTCTTTAGAGGAATGACAGGGTGTCTCACTGTGTGGAGCCTAATCCTGGCAGCTTGAGATGCACCTACCTGTTATTTGTATCCTCAGCTCAAATTCTGCTTTACAATGGAATTATCAGAAGACTCAATTTTTTTGTGAAATCATCCCAAGTGGCAGCTCAGGCTCTTCCCATGACATGTCCATGTTCCACCAGAAGCACAGCAGAAGATGTATTTGCACCTGGAGAAGCCCCACTTGGGTTGCCTACATCTGATCAGGAGCATAACCTCCAAAATCTGAACACTTCTTCCAGAAATATGGAACTTTCTTCCAGAAATACTGTTTCTGTGCGTGAGCAGGGTGAATGCCCTGACATGAAAATGCCATGAATATGATGTGATAGATGTGAATTTCTGAGTTCACTGACCTGTGGGCAAAAAAGTATAGAGAAAGAATTATTCAAATACTTCTGTATTTTTTCAGGAGCTGTTTCCTGGGCAGTATGTACTCCAATGGATGTTGTGAAAAGTAGACTTCAGGCAGATGGAGTTTATTTAAACCAGTACAAAGGGATCCTTGACTGCGTGTTGCAGAGCTACCAGAACGAGGGCTTGAAAGTAAGTGACATTTGAACTTAAATCTGGTTATTAGGTATTTAATTGTCAATTGGAAAATACAGTGGCTGTTAAAAACCTATCTGCAGAGTTGAGAGACAGCTAAAGCCAGTTAGCGCTAAATTATGAAAATGGCAGTAGGTAATTATAGTGTAGATTCCTACTAAATCAAAATAGTGAGAGTAATTATACATGTTACATAATGAAGAAATGAATGACTGGGGGTCACACACAGCTGGTGTAATTATCTTCAAACAACATTTCATGTTAGTGCACTTAATCATAGATATAATTTGTCTTATCACAAATCAGAGGTAGAAAGTCTTACCTCTGTGATTCTTCTGCAAAATGCAGAGGTCAAATGTTTCCCATTGACTTTGGTGTCAATGAACTGATTCTGGTGGGACTGTCCTGGCACTCTGGGTGTGTCTGGTCACCTTGGGCAATGCTTTGGTGGAACTAATGCTGCTTTTGCACTGCTTGCCCTCATTTTGCACCAAGATAGAGTTGATTGTCAGCATTCTTAAATCAGAATTGCTTTCGTTTTGAACATGAAGAAGGGCTGTGTGCCAAACAACTTATCTCCCTTTTCTGACTTTGTCTTTTAGTGTAATAAAACATATATTCAAGCTTTTTGCAACCTTGATACCTGCAAACTTTGCCTCAGTTAAATATGAATGGCAGAGAATAAAGGTTTGCAGCTTTATTGTGTTGCCAAGGCATGGTTGTGGAGGTAATGTCTTCTGATACTGAAATAAATCTGTATTTATCATTGGACCAGCATGTAGTCTTAGCTCCAAAGTGTTAATTTTCACATTCTGAGACAAATGTAACAAGGAAAATACAAACAGGAAAATAACCTGCAAAATCACATGTCAGTGTGATTTCAGTATTTGACAACCTGCCACTATGTTATGCCAGCTATCACAGGAGCCTGTGGTCTGGTTCAGCTTTTGCCACTGAGTGAAGACAGTCACATTCATGTGAAGCACAAGCACCTGGAGAGGTGCTAAGGACTGTCCATGGACAATCAAATGGGGGACAGGGTGCCCAGGCTCTCTGGCATCTGCCATGTGCATTCCACATGGTGTGCGCCTTCATAGCAGGGCAGCTGAAACGGGAATTTCCATGGGTTTTCCCTTCTCTCTCCATCCTCATCCTCATCCTCGTCCTCGTCCTCGTCCTCATCCTCATCCTCATCCTCATCCTCATCTTATCTTCCTTGTCCGGCCTGAATTAACAACTAAAAGAGTTTTCTGGTGGAGTTCCGTACTTGTAGTTTTTCTGCTGCCACATCTGGACCTGCCCCAAAAAAGCTGTCAGTAGGATTGAGTAATTAGTTGATAGCAAAATTGGGTCCTGCTCTTGTAAGGAAAGTGTTTTTAAATGTTGGGAGACTCACAACTGACAAATGGCAAACTCAGGGCTGGATGTTTTCATTCTGGGAAAAAGGAACAGCATTCTCAGTGCTGGAAATAACTGCCTGATGTACACAAACACAACTATACCCTTCTCTTTCTCCCTACCCAGGTGTGTTCATTCTGATAAGAAAAATTTATTTATCTGGACTTTTCATTATTATTTAACTTGGGTTTCTTGTATTACTTTATGGATAATGAAAAAGCATTGAATTTCCTCCCAGAAATTTCTCTTTCCTAACAAAATAAAACATCCCAATAAATCATATAATATCCTAAATGTCCCAACACTGCAATTTCACATTGCAAGCTTTATCTAAACTATGTGAACATATTTTGATTGTCTCAAACAAGTCAGCACTATGCTTAGTATTTATTGGAAACAAGATGTAATGGTGTTTAGTAGAGTTCAGTAATTTCAGGGGGAAAATGGGTTATATGCTTAAATCTAAGGGCTTCTGATCTCAGGGCCAAAATTTTTCATGGCTTTTTACAGTAGCTGTGGGAACTTTGCCATTACAAAGCCTGGAAAGGGGTCTGGTTGCTGATGTTCCTTTTCACATCTATTCTGAACTTGTGGTGTTTAGTGACTTATGATGAGCCTTGGTGGTTAAAGGAGTGATTTTGTGAGAAACAGGCCAGCAGAGATACCCCCTGGAACCATCATATTGTGAGCAGACTCACCCCAAAGTGAGCAGTTTGTGCATGTCCTCGCACACACCAGGCACCAGGGTGTGGTGTTAGTAGAGAGGGGGCTTCAAAGGGAGACCAGTCAAGGCCAGTAGTCAGGAGTGACAAGGCTTTTTCAAAAGCCCTTTACTGCTCAAGCATTTAAAAGCCATATAATCTTTCACTCTTGTACCAGCCAGCATCTTTTAAAAAGAAATATATTGACCAGAAAAAGGAAATCATGAAGCTGGTATTTATTATCTTAATTAAAGTGCTGGGTTATGTATGGGTACTAAAGTTTGACCTAAGACTCATGGGAAAATATCAGCTTCTATCAAATATTTTTCCCCCAGGCAGTAGTGAGAGAGCTGTCAGCAAGGTGCAAAGGAAGCCTGGTTTTCAGTTGATTGAGAAATTCCTTCTATGCTCAAAGGTGAAACCTGAAAAATTGTCCCTGTGGCACAGTGCCCACATGGCTGGGCTAGCTCACAGCCACACCACTCCCTCTCCACTTGCCAAACATCTTCTGTGCCCACAGACCCAGCCCTGGGGCTCAGAGCATTTCCTGCATGAAAACAGAGCCTTCTTGTACCCTGGGGTCTGCATGATCCCTACATGTTTATGCATGCCAAGGGAAGGAAGGCCAGGCTGGACGAGGCTTGGAGCAATATGGTCTGGGGGAGGTGTCCCTGTCCATGGTGGGGGGTTAGAACCAGGTGAGCTTGAAGGTCCCTTCCAACCCAGAGCACTCTGTAGTTCTGTCACCCTGTGACTGTAGCTAGGTAGGACAACACTGGAAGACATTTTAGATTTCTTGCTTTCTGTTTCACACCAGTTCCATGAGGCCAGTTTTTACCCTTTACCTCTTTAACTCTGGCTGGTATCTACAGATGGGGGTCCATAGGGATCACAGAGCACAATGATGCCAAACCAGGCACTTCTGCTACTGTGTTCCCCTTCCCCAGTGCAGACCTCAACTAAGACCAGCAGCGGGAGTATCTTCCAAGAAAACCCAAAAGATTTGGTTCTTCAGAATCCCACCATGACTTCATTCAATGTTTTCCTCTTCTTCTTCTTAAAATGGTCCATATATTCCTATGTTCTAATCTTGCTCCATTCCCAACAGGTGTTTTGTAGAGGCCTCATGGTCAATACATTGCGGGGATTCCCATCGAGTGCAGCTATGTTTCTTGGCTATGAACTTTCTCTCAAAGCAATGAAAAGATGCCAAACTGAGACCAGTCCCTAACTTCCAGGTCAGCACATAAAGACCCTCTAGCTTTATTAAAATTACAGAATTAATCTTGGAATCAAATAGAGTTGCAATTGTATAGCTCCTTTGACAGTCATATAACTTACATGGGTACCTACACCTGAATAGCCAAACACAATTTGGGTCTGTGGGATTCAGAGCAGACTGCAAATTTTAGTTTCAGTCCACACCTCCTGGAGCTTCACTGTAATCTGTTCTGATTGTTGTGATTATTTTAATTAGTATCAATCAGAAATAAAAATCTGAAAGGAGATTATTCTCTATTATTTTATAAGTTTTGAAATATCATTTTTACAATAGTCACCGCACAGTATTCCTCACTTGTTGCACCCCCAAAGGTATGAAATTAAGCTCTTTTAAAGTGCCTTGACTATCAAATCACTGTTTGACTCTTTCTCTCATTAACTTAGAGTTGCATAAAGGAGCAGCATTAAAAACATCTGATTAAAGAAACTTTTTTAGCAGCTAGATACTCAAGATTTTTCTTGGCCATCTCTGCTGTTTTCTGCGGTACTTCATAAATCTCCCTCTTTCTTATTTCAAAAGTGTTGCCAAGAAGACAAGAAAGTCTCCTACTTTCCTGAGCCAGACCAGCAGTGTGGTGTGAGTGAGGGCTCAGCTGCTCTGACCGAAGACTCCCATCCTGCACCTACAGCAACTGCTGGTCCATGGAGGACTCCAAAAATCTCACCAGCTCCATCAAATCCAAAAACTATTTTACTATCAAATCTTTCATCGTTGACTAAGAACACCTTAACAATTTCGGTGGTGGTGCTGGGCTTCTTCAGCAATGACATTTTTCCTATTGAACCAGGAAGACAATTTACTTCCCTTTCCCAAGGGATGTACCCAAACCCAGCCCACCTCAAATCATCAAGGGAACATCTTTTGTACAACACGGCATTATAATACTCATCTTCTTTGGTGAACAAGGAAAGGAGGAAATGCAATGGGTACCCAGGTGCTTTTTCTGTTTGGATTCCCACCAAATTCTAGCTTGCTTTCAGGTTGAAAGAAGTGGGTGACTCCTCCCATACAAACACTTGTGTTCTACAACACGGTTTGGCTCAATTTAACGCATTTTCATGAAAAATGTAAAGGCTTCAACAACTTCCGTCTGTTATCCAAGGTATAAATTAAATTGGGAAACAGGAGGATGTTAAATTCAGAGACTGAGCTGCTTTTTTTATACAGGAAGCAATGAAACAAGTCTGCATTTCATATAGAAGACTGCCTATTAATTTACACAGCTTGCCTGGTGCAGCCCTCCAGGGACCAGCTTGAGGTATCTCATTAGACCTTCTGAGCTCCCTGACACGACTTGCCAGCTGCCAAAACCTGCAGACATCACTTTGTAGTCATGAGCAGACCATCACCAAAGGAATCTCTTTAGGACACAATACCCTTCAGACCTCCAGCTCTTCGCTGGAATCCCACTGAGACCACTGGGGCAGGCCTGGTCTCTCTTTGGTCTACCACAGCCTCCCAATTATCCCAAGATCTTTTACATCATGATTATTTCTCTTTATGCTGTTAAATATCCTTATGCTTTATTTTCTAAGCATGGAGCTTTGGTGCCAAAGCCCAAGAAGAACCAGCTTTGCTGTAACAAGAGGACTCTGGTGGCACTGGCAGAAGAGGCCAAGGGGGCTCACATGCCGAGGGACACATGACATGGGGAAATAATCTAGGACAACACTTCATCTGGGAAACGTTCTAGAGGAGCAGCTATTCCTCTGGAGAAGAGGTCTGGGTGAAAAGCCCAGTGATTGCAGTTTCAGTAAAGGCCTTCAGAGAAAGGTTTCTGAAGACAGTGTGGGGCAGCTAACCAGCTTTCCTCCATAAAATTAGGAGAAGGAAAGAGAAAATCTTATGTCCTCTTCCTGGATGATTAGGGGAATTGGCCACAACACTTGAAAATCTCAGCATAAACTGCCTAAAACTTTGGCTCTAGAGCAGTACTTAGAAATGGAGCAGCACCTTCTTTGGGCTCCTCATCACTGGGGCCCAGATTAAAACCAGAAGTGTGGGTGCTCCCAGAACTGGCCTTAAAATAGAGAAGAAACAGCTGGTGTTGCTTCCTCTCAGGACTTCACTGTGAGAAGGCTCACAGTGCCTTTGACATTCTTTAGAACACACAGAACTGGTTTTGATAAACAATATGGGAAAAAATTGATGAGCCTTCATACAAGTATTTGTTGCTGGCTGCATTTAAGGATTCATCCTTTTAATGCTGCTTATTTTAATGCATGTATGTAAAACATGTTTTTTTAGATGGATAATATCATGTGTCTCCAGGGATAATACTTGGGCAGACTATTTTTTAATGCAAATAAATGGTGTGTTAATCTGCCCACATAATGTAAAATGGATCATTAATTAATTAAACTGATGAGTTCACAACAAGCTGTGTATCTGCATGATCCTGCCCTCATGGTGCCCAGGTTTGATCCATTCAGTGCTCTCTGGGTGTAAAGCCTTGACACCCATGTTGGAGTTGCATGGAGATATTTCATTATATTATTCATCCAAATAAACAATTTTGAGATTGGAGCCCAGGATTTGCCTGGACAAAACTCTCATGTAGCACACACCTGCCAGATGGAGCTGTCAGAGAGAGCCATGGGCAACTTGGTGTGGAAAGGGAGCAGAAGGCAGAAAGCTACTCTAAATAATATAAATATATATATCATAAATATAAAATCATGAAGATCAAGTGGGAAGTGAATATAAAGCTTTGGCCACTTGATGGCGTCCTCATCCCTGGCAGGACGTGTCGCTCCCTGGAGCTGCCGAGCAACCCCTCTGTGTCTCGTCCACTCAACCCGAGCCCAAGTCTGCTGCGCAACCAGCACACATTCCCTTCGCCACGGGCAGCCCCACACTGGACAGCCTCTAGATGATCTTGGGATGACCCTGCCCTGCCAGAGGCTGCTCCGGTCTGGCAGCAGGGGGCAAGCCCTGGACACACTGGTTAATCAGTGCATCACCCCATTAGCATTCACAGACAAACCACAAAAGCAAAGCAACTCCAAGCTAGAGCACAAGGGTTTCAAGGGTGACAGCAGCACAGGCCACTATGAAGGAGATTCGGCTGCCTCTGGGCCACTGCTGTTGACCAAGGACACCTTAGGGCTGGGGCAAGCAGCTTTTGAGGCACGACACTTTGTGATACCCCGCTGTGACTGATCAGACCCCTGGGAAGTGCTCAGGGCCAGGTTGGACAGGGCCCTGGTTTAGTGGAAGGTGTCCCTGCCCATGCTAAATGGGTTGAAAGGAGATGAGATTTAAGGTCCTTTCCAACCCAAACCCTTCTATGTCTCTACAGTCCCTGCAGTTGGACACTGACAGACAGTTTAGTCTTGCTTTTGCAGTAGTGAATGTGTGGCTGTGTCACCAGTAAAAGAGGTCCAGTGATGCGGGGGTTGTGTGACACCACAGGGGGCCAGCCTCATGTCACAAAGATGAGGGATGGCAATTGAAATTTATACACACAGAGACTTGACAAGTTTGTGTCTTGTGAATAATCTTCTGTATGTTATATCAGATGCATTAATTTTTGGAATAATATCAGTATCATTATACATGGATAGAAATTAGAATCTCCAAAGAATTTTTCAGGGACCTGGTGATAGGAGTTTAAACAGCCTTTCCTGGGAGGCAGACAGACAGACACACAGCTGATTCAGCAGGGCACTTATTACATAAGTTGGTGATTTTGTCCCTGAATTACAAGAAAGAAAACCCCTGTGTCAACAGAATTCAGAATATGGACCCAGCTCCTTTGTCAGTGCTCTGTCTGTACTGACCTGTCTTCTGTGGCATATTCCACACACATGCTGGAGTGGTAGAAGCCATCTGCTTGGTAGGTTGTTCAAGGTGTTTACAGAGCCCCTCATTTCTACAATAAATGCAGTAAACCCTGAAATTGTCAAAAAATGAGAAGGGAGATGAGAAGAACCAGAGATACATACTTCTATGTGTTTGTTGCCTGGATTATGAAAGCATATTCAGACCTGTTCATCCCTCAAATGAGTCTGTAATTGCCCAACTTTCATGTCTCTGGTGCCATTCCAGCTCTTACAACAGCCTGTATTACTTAATGAGATGTAGGCTGTTTTTCACACTTTATAAACTACTTAGTGCTGTGAAAGGGAAAAGTGGTAACAGCAGCTTATTTTCTTCATTGAAAAACCCAATCAAACAGGGACCAATTTCCCAGTTAAATTTTTTTTTCTAGAAAACGGCCCTGGAAAAAAGACCTGGATGGAGGTCTTTGGGGCTGGGAGTAGCTTCATGATAGAGTGGGGAGAGGCTGGCTCTACGCAGCAGTTTTAGCACCTAGTGAAACCATCTCTGTAAAGGTCTCTTCCTTATGATGGCTCTAGGCCAGGCTCAGAGTCCCCATTTTCTCATGCCTTGGAGTCCCTGTCTGCTGTTTCCCCACCACAGAGGAAGGCAAGATCACAGTCCACATCTCAGTTTCTCTTTTTTTGAGACAGAGGAGTAGGTGACGTCTTTTCAGGCATTAAGATATATCTCTTTGGTTTATCTGAAGTTCTGTCATAGAGGTTGTTATAGTAAAGATTCTTCTCCTAGGCATGGCATTCATGTCAGCCAGGAAGGCCACTGCCTGTCTTGTACTTGGGAAGAAAAGAGTGAAGTGTAGAGCCAGAAAAATTATGAGATCCAAGGAGACAGGTAGGAAGAAGTTCAAGCACTAAATTGAATTCAAACTGCACAAGAACAGCTGCCTCTCTCTAAAGCCATCTTCTTCCTATAAATGCTCCTTCAGTAATGCACAGACTGATCACTGCCAGCTTAGATAAGCAGTGTGTAGACTATCCTTCCAGAGACAGGCTCCAAAAGGAATAAAGCCATGAAGTGAGGGAAAATTAAAGTAGTCACACTGATTTTCAAAGGCAGTTTTCCTAAACTGTAGATCCTGCGACAGCTCCAGAATCAGACACGGGTGGAACAACCAACCTGTTAGGAGCCACTAGTGCAGCAGAAGTGTATTTTTAAGGGGTTTTAGAGGTCCCATGTGCAGTTTCACTGTAAGATATAAAGTGCTGGATACATCAAGAAATCCTTGCTTAGTAAGGGTGAAATTCTAAGGCTACTGGGCTGTACAACACCCAGTCTCTGAAGAAAATACAAGGGTCTTCTTTGAGTGATGGAGAAAGCAAAGGGTAACCTTGAGTCACAAGGAGAAAGACTTGGGAGAAACCAGAACCTTGAAAGTGGGAAAAAACATGTTGAGACTGCCCTGCCACCAACACCTGCTGCATCAACTTGCACCTGCATGGCCTCACCTCTGTGAAAGCACCAGGACTTAGCTGATCTTCATGAACTGCTCTATTCTCCCATGTTTCAAAACATTTTAGCACTAATATAGCCTGCTTCATACACAGTATAGAAACACATGATATAGAAATCCTGCCAATTCTCATGGATAAGGGCCAGCTTGTTCTTACTTATGCAACCAGGTGGGAACCAATATCCGTCCCTGCTAATTACTGCTTGATTATCCATCAAGCAGCCTGCAGGTGGATTTTCAACGCTTCTAGCATGAAAAGTGAGCTGTAATGTGAAGCTGGGTAGTGAAGAGTTCTAACGCAGCCATGGAGTGAATGCTTTGTACTGTCTGTCTGTCTGTCCTGCATGTGCAGCCTCCCTCTGCATGCTGTGCTGAGTAGGAAATCCAGCACACACGGTCATCACACAGTGGGACAAGCAAGGAAGGGTGAGTGGACTTGTGATGTGAGAGCACTCAATGTTTCTCTTTCCTGGCATGAAAGCAGTCAGGTCACAAAAGAAGATGCTGGAAGAAGACATTAGGAAAAACCTTAAAATACAGGAGAACAGGTGACCTCTATAGTCAATTCTTCCTGCTTTCTGCGGGCTTTTGGAG